TTCCTGTCTTGACACCGTGAGAAAGAGAGAGCGGGAGAGGGTGAACAAAGCGCGAGAGAGAGGGAGCCGCCCCGCTCTTTTTTTTTTTGCAGCCTCCTCTTGTCTCATCCGAACCGAGAGAGAGGCTAAGAATGAGAGGGAGAGCCGGGGAGCGAGCGAAATTAGGGCATCAAGGGAGAATTCGGGTGAGAGAGAGAGAGCCGTCCGATCAAATTTCTGATCCAACGGTGGGATTCCCTTTTGGCTTGGAGAGTCAATCAAATTTTGATTAGGGCCTAGCTAATACCCAAGGGACTGAAATCAAGTTCAAATTGAGTCAGGTTTGGTTCACTCCGGGTCACCTCAAGCTCGCCTCGACTCGACCAAAATTAATTTAATAAAATAAGATAAAATAAATCGAACTCAAATTAATGTTAATTCGAATCGAATCGGGCTCGACGAGGCTCGATCAACACGATCCAATACGTTCGAGGGAAAAGTTAAGCTAAAAACGAGGTCAACAGAGCATCTTGGGCATCATTGCTTCAGGGGTGGGGGAATTTGGCATGGATGTACTAGTAATTTGATTTGCTTTCATGGGCTCTTAGTTTTATCGCCTAAAGGAAATGTCATATTATTTCTTTGGAAGTGATTAGGCTTCTATTTTCATAACAGTTTGAAGAGCATTAGTAAGGAATTTTTTCTGGGTTGCAACAATTGTCATGCTCATCTAGCTAGATTTTCTACTCTCTCTTACTTTAAGTTATTTTTTATTCTATTTCTCAATCATTCTATGGCTTGAGCAAGCAAAATTCTTTCATTCATTTAGTCTATTTTATGGTTTTTATGTTGTTTGGCAACAAGTGGGATTTAACTTTAGTGGGATTTAATAAATACTGTAAATCCGAATTTAGTAAATTTGAAATGTGTTAAATCCTGAAAATTATTTGGTATGTCAAATGTTAAATCCTGTGAAATTGTTTGATAACATATATCAGGATTTATGGTGGTTAGAGATTTAAATTTAAAGAAGATATTTATGAAATCAAGTGCAGTGCATAAAATATAATAAAATCAGTTATAAAATGACCAAAAATTCAATAAAAAGCAAATTACAAATTAACATTGACCAAAGTGATAGATGAAGTATTAAATCAGCTAATTATATTAATATTTAATTACTAATTAAATCATTAATTAGTCAATTATATTAAATTAGATAATTAAATTATGCAATAATTATACTATTAATTAATTAATTTAATTTTTAATTGTTTAAATAAAAATTATATTAATTAAATTAATCAATAATAACTTTGAGGCGTCTAGGGTTTGCCATACATCTTTTCTTTTCGTCGTTGCTGTTCGGCTTCGTTGCTTCGCAGGAGGTGTAGAGATTGCGCGCGTCGCTACTTCGGCTCCTTCATGGTTGTTCGACTTCGCTCTTTCGACGACTTTCCTGTCGGGTCAGAAGTTTCGAGATTTTGATCCGAAGCAACAACGGGAGCTTGCTGGCTGTGAAGGTTCTCCTTTTTGCGTGCTTTGTCGGCGACTGTTGAGCTTCAGCAACACGAGCGCCATGAGTAAGTCTTCTGCCACTCTTTAAATCCCGTTAAATCTACCGAACCAAGGGATTTAGTAAATCCGGGATTTAAGCCGTAAATCCATAAATCCGGGATTTATTGAATCCCGGGATTTAACGCGCGCTATAAAACCGTTTGGTTGGATTTAGCGTAAATCCGACGATAAATCCGATACCAAACAGCCCCTTGAGTCATCTGCAGAGACAGGTCATGCTCAAATTTTGCAATATTTCAACGGTTGGAAATTACCTTATAAGCCTGTGCTTCTGTGACAGTCCTTTCCTTTGTTGTTTTGATTAATGAGAAGTATAATCTATGGTTGCTATTGATTTCATTTTCAATAATCACAATATCTGTTTCTTGGACTGTTGGGTTGCTGCATTTGCTTGGCATCACAAAGAGGATTATTTGCAAAGTAAATACAGCAAAATTCACATTTGCAATTAAATGCAGTTTCTTTGTTGAACTTTGCACATTATTTTTATACACACAGAATTTAAGACATAGAAGAAGCCTGTTGACAATTACTTATGTCTCAATCTTATTTTTCTATGTGATTTTTAATCAGGAATGGCTGCTCGGCAAGATAGAATAGCTTATGGATACAATTCATCATTTCAATCCATAAAGGAGCTGTTTTTTGGAACAAGATAAGAATGAAAATTTTATTGCCAATTGCTGAGTTTCTTCTCCACTTAAAAGAGCACCTTGGTATTTGTTTAGCTAGTTTGCTTGGCAGTTATTGAAGGGTAAAGTGACCTTTTTTTTTTTTTAAATGACGTTATAATTAATTTACTATGACTCAATAAATTTACTATTACTACACAATAAAAGCTTTGTAATAATAGTAAGTATCATGTAACAACAGCTCACTTAATTATGTGGAGATATTATGGGAGTCACCTATTTTTGAATTTTGCTTAGCCATGTTTGAAGGCACCAAAGATCCAAGATCCATCAACTTTTAAACCACTCTAAGTTGACTCATCAACTTTAAAACCACATGTTAAGCAGTGAACAAGGGCGGAGCTTGAATTTTCTTTTCTACATGGGGTACAAATCAGTCAAGTTAAAAAAAAAAAATCCTCAACCTTTTTCATCAGTGCTTGGGACCGATATTGACGGTTTTAAATTTGTTACTCATACCATAAATGTAGATTCACGTTTCATCAAACCAAATTGCATGTCTTTTGATGTTTGAATTACAAGCTACTCAACTTTTTTCCATTCTAGTCTGGTATGCCTTTTGCTTGAAATGTCATCTGAAATGTTTACAACTACAACTTGTGCAGAGAAATCATGGCATCATGGATTTGAAATCATTGATGGAAAGATTCTTTAATTTGACATGATAGAATATAATAATCCGTGAGCAATGCATTGAACTTCTATAAGATGGTGGTGAAACCTGCAGTGCTTTATGGTATATAGAATATTGACCATTAAAAGAGAAGCATAATATTAAGTTAAGTATTGCAAATAATTCCCAAAAAATTTATTTGTCTGTCTTATTTTTTTATGTATTCATTGTTCAATTGATGTAACTTTCTGGTTCAGTGTTTATTTTATTTTTGTGGTTAAATCATTTGCTTGTTAATGGGTCTTCACAATCAAATTTCATCCTAGTGGTTCTATCAATTGCTTGAATGATTGTCGATTTCCAATGATTTACTGAAGTCTATGGGATGTACTATTTTGATATTTTCTCCTTAGTTGTCAAACGCAAATTTATTCAAATTCTTCACTCAATGGCCACATCAATGGCTGTAGTTTACTATACCAGTAAACTACAATATTATGAGCTGTAATCAAGTGAGAAACAAATAAAGTACTACAGAACAATAATTATCTACTCAGCCAAACAAAGTAAGAATGTAACATTCAATATCAGTGTTTCGCCTTCATATTAACCTGCACATAGCCTTTAAAAGGTCATATAGAGTAAATGCTTTATATAAGAAGGTGCAGATCAGGTTCAAAAAAACCAGTTTGATAGAAAGGCTTCTGAATCCAGCGAATGCTTGATTTATATAAACAAAATTAATTACCTTCACAAGAAGATGAAGAACCTCAAATAGAATGGTTAAAAGCCACTGCTCAAAGTTTTCAACAGCTGAAGCCATTTTTTGCTGGAAGCTAACTTTAGCATTGACATTTCCCTCCACTCCTTGTTCTTCATTGTTTAAGCAAGGCTCTTCTCGAATATCCTCTTCTACAATTGTAGGAGTATCATCCACTACAGGCTCCAACAAATGAGCATGAACACCAAGGTTGAGAATTAAATCAAAAACCCGGATCCTAGAAGCCACTGTTTGAGAAGTAAGCATATCCTGAGCAATGCAGGGTAAAATGAGGCATCTAGAATAGATCATTTTGTTTAAGTAACTGAATCTAAATCAAACAAATGAAGCACCTCTAGCATTAAAAGAGTAAGAGGAGCAGCAGATGCACAATCCTGATTTGTAATACACTTGAATGTATTAGTTAGTCTCAGTTTTCTTGTTGTGTTACCGTGTAGACTTAGGCTTCATTTGGGACGGCTTTTTAACTATTTATTAAAGCAGTTTTCGAGTACAAAAAAAAATAACTTTTGTGCTAAAAAGTCATTTTAAGACGCAGTAAAAAAGCCGTCCCAAACGAAGCCTTAATGCGTTTTTCTTTTGATGTTTTCCTTCTTTTGGTTGTTACAACCCGCAGCTCTTATGCTCCAGAAGAACAAATGAGGTCGAGGATAGCAAAGGTTCCGTTTCAAAAGGATAAACATGAAGCAGAGTTTCCATAGTTTTCTTGTTCTAATATTAAAGAACATTATTGAATAATCCAGGTATGTTGGTGCTAAGCAAATTGCATACTCAAAACAAAAAGAATGCCTGTTAATACTATATTATGATTTTTTTTGACTTAATCCTGCTTCATTTGGGTTCTGAGGAGTTTTTTCAACTAGACTGAAGATGACCCTTAATGTTTCTATAACGAACAAGGAGTTGCCCTCATCAAGTCTTTCTTATGAAAATCCACACTATATTTATGAATTTTTAGATTGGTTTTTGTGGAGCCTATCCATGTGACGGGAGCACCTGGACAGACTTCTTTAGTTGTAATTGTTCAGTATGATTCTAAAAAATGTGATGAATGGAATAGCTAACAACGCTGGCATTTGTACCTTTTCAAGGGATTTGAGTAAAAACAAAGCGATAGATGAACAAAAGTTACTGATATAATACAAACAAAGAAGACACAAGTGTTGATGTAAAGTATATTCTCTCTTCTTCTTATCTAACCAATCATTGAGAAGGGAGTATTATTAGGCTTCACTGTTAATATATCTGCTTTTATGTAATCAGCTGAATGACGTCTTCTATTTTTAATTAGTAATAATCACAACATTATTATATATCATTTAGTAATTTATAGTATTTGTAATGTTCCAGATCAATAATGACAGAGGATTTGTTAAATTTTGAGGAGGACGAAGTACTTGATGATATGTTAGAAGTTAATGAGCGTAAAGGAGTGACAAAATATACTCGTATAATACTCACAACGACATGTGCAATTCATGATTACTATGCATTGTATGTTTGCAAGAATCCTTGCATGACATCAGCTCTAACGGGAGATAAATGGTTGTGTGAGTTGTCGCATGGCCATCCAAATAGATTTCATAACATGTTCAAAATGTCACAAGTTATTTTTATGGACTTAGTTTCTTTGTTGGAATCATCATATGGTTTACATGGATCTCGCAGAACTTCTACTCGAGAGGTACTTGCAATAACTTTGTACATTTTGGGACATAATGAGAGTATTAGATCAACATGTGAACAATTTCAGCACTCTAAAGAGACGATTAGTAGGTTTTTTTATAATGGTCTGCAAGCATTAGTTCGATTATCAATGGAGATCATTGCACCTGTAGATAAATTTTTCCATCATATTCCTGAAAAAATAATTAATGACAAAAGGTACATGCCATACTTTAAAGATTGCATTGGTGCTATTGATGGCACACATGTTGATGCACGCATCCCTATTAAAGAACAGGTCATTTATATTGGACGTCATCATTCACCGACACAAAATGTTATGGCTGCATGTGATTTCAACATGTGTTTCACATTTGTTTCACCTGGTTGGGAGGGTTCGACACATGATGCACGTATATTTAAACATGCAGTGATGGATCCGAAATATAATATTCCTGCACCACCTCCAGGTATTACTAATTTATAGAATGAAATTGTTATATTTATTAATTAGGTTATATTGTATACTAATTAACAAATTTTTGAACAGGAAGGTTTTACCTAGTTGATGCAGGTTACCCTCTACAAAGGGGATATTTGAAGCCATACATTGGAACCAGATATCACTTACCTGATTTTAGAAGAGGTAGTAGAACTATTATGGGACATAAGGAGCTTTTTAATAGTAGACATTCCTCACTAAGAAGTGTAATTGAACGTTCCTTTGGTGTATGGAAAAAGAAATGGGGAATATTAAGAGATATGCCTAATTATAGTTTTAAGAAGCAACGTCTTATTGTTGTTGGTACCATGGGCTTACATAATTATATTCGACGACATATATCACGAAATGATCCAGATTTCATAGACTGTGACGTTGATGAAAATTTTATTCATCCAGAGGCATATCAATGCAGAGTAGGAGAGCAAATTGAAGAAAGTAATGTGTTATATGCCGATGTAGAGTTTGGTGATGACGAGGGGGTGAATGAAATGATTGAACTGAGAGAGAAAATTGCATTTGAACTATGCAATTAGAACAGGTATAATGAATATGCGAACTATTTTTTTGTAACAGAAATCAAATTCATTAATCATCCGGAGAAGGAGATGATGACATGGTTGTTTA